CATTTTATTCCTGCATAAAACGGCTTATTCACAGCTGGAAGACTCACTCAGAACGATTCTCTTTCCTCTCTTCTCCAGGTGTCCCCAGTGAACTTTCCTTCCTATGAAACTCTTCTCTGTCTCCCACACTTTCTACTGACTTAGCTAAAATTTCCAGTCCAAGGATTTCTGGTCCCCATTCAGGCATCAGTTATTACATGCTCAGGTCTGCAACCTCCCAAATGAGTGGATGGCAAAGGCTTAAATAAAAGAGACAAGGCATACGATTTTAGGGCTCCAGGAGGATCAAACCCTCTAGCAGAATTTGAGATTCTCTGGGGGCTTAAACAATAAACTTCTCTAGGTGGCCTATATTTATTTGGTTTCAAACAAGGGAAGGGACTAGGGTAGAAAACATGGGAAACTGAGCAGGATCTTGGGAGTGGTTCAAGGTCTTCTCCAAGAAACACCAGACTATGTTAATTTAGGTGAACTATGTTATGTGAATTTAGGAGAAGTAGCTTGTGAGAAAATCTCCAGGTTGACTTTCACTACTGGAGTAAAATGTCTGCAGCTACAGTTTTTATTTAGTTCATTGGAGTGGGAGTCAGGTGTCCTCAGTGATGATCTTATCCTGTTCTTTAATGTGTTATGGCATCACAGGCCACTACAGACCTCAACCAGGACCAGTGTGACCCATAAGAGTTTCACTTACTATGAGTCCAATGCCCATCTCCAAACAGCGAGTCTAGGCCTTGGGAAGACCCACAAGTATATATATATATATATATATATGGCCAACTGGTCAATTTTAAACTGCTCAGAGTTGCTTTGTAGTGGTCTCCATCACATGGTAGAGGATACCTGTAATCTCAGCACTCTGAAAGAAGGAGAATCATTAGCTCACACCCAGCCTGCATTGAGACCTTGTCTTAAAAAAAAAAAAAAAAAATTTTTTAAGGGCTGGGCATAAAGCTCAGTACTAAAATCTTGAGTTCAAAAATATATTTAATACACCTAACCTACAAAATATCCTAATTTAGCAATGAGTATCATGTGTTTGCCTTAGTGATTTCAAGGCTGTGTGGGAACTACAGTTTGCTGCCACTGCCCAGAATGACCAGAAGGTATTATACCACATAGCACTAGCAAAAATCAAAATTCAAAACTAGACCTATGTTTTGTAGTTTGTTTTTCTTCTTCTTTATTCTTGAAATAAAATGGAAAAAATAAATAAAATAAAATGGAAAAAATTAGATGTATGATTTTACTAAATTTGTAACATTTCATTTTAGCAACACAGTAAAATGAAAAAAATAAGGGCTAGGGATTTGGCTCAGTGGTATAAGCACCTGGCTGACAAGGTGGAAATCATGAGTTCAATCCTCAGCACCAAAAGAAAAAATAAATAAATAAATAAATAAATATATTAAATTGAACATTATAGGTCAGAGACTGAACAAATAAATATTTCTGATAAATACAAAGCTTCTAAATTAATTAAATCTAGTTACATAGATATTATAAAATAAATTAGTAAATAGGATACATATAAAAATCAGTCTTTTTTCTATATTCTAGCAAAGAAATTTCCAAAGTGAAGTTAAATTTATTTTAAAGTCACATCAAAAAGAATAAACATTAAGAATAAATTTAGCAAAATATATAAAAAACTTGTACACTCAAAACAATGTTAACTAAAATTAAAGGTAATCTAAATAAGTGGGTGACATCTCATTTTTCTTGATTATACAACATAATACTGATAAGACACTAATTCTCAAATTCATCTATATACTGCTGCATTTTATTGCTTGTGACTAGGATGGTAAAAAGATTTATCAAGAGTAGAGAAAGTGTATAAGTAATTTTATTGAAGTTCACATCATAAGACACACAGGACAGTTGAGAACGGACACCATATTTAGAGTGCTAGAGCTTTTTATAGAGTGGATGGCCTGATCTATAACAGGCTCAGAAGAAAACTGTTTTAGTAGACTGAATGGGAGAGTGTGAGTAGGTTTGAGTCTAGATGCATGTGTCCACAGGGAGAAGCCCTAAAGTTTGACAGCCATAAATTAAATTAGGAGGGCTTGATGAGATCCAGACTGGGAAGACTGAAGAGGCCTTTTGTTTTGTGGAAACACTTTGCAATGAACCCAGTTCACTCGGTTAAATTTAGAAGGTAACCATGAAAACAAGGAACTCAGCTTGGGGTTAATGTCATTATATTCAGAGATTGTCTTAACAGTTTGGCTTAGGGAGATGACATATTTTGCCACAAAGTGGGTTTTATGATCCAGCAAAAAGATTGGCTGGGAGAAAAGTCTTCAACAGAGAATTTTAAAAGGGCTGAGCTTAATTTTGACTTCAGAGATAATACAGAGTCAGAGGTGAGCAATAGCAAAGAAGGTAAACCAGTAAATGTTTTCGTACTGACATGTTTATAATTCCGGATACTCAGGAGCCCAGAGGCAGGAGGATCACCAGTTTGCGATTAGCCCAGGCAACATAGAAGACTATCTCAAAAGGACTGGGGACATAATCCACTATACAGCGTTGTCCTAGATTCAACCCCCAATTTAAAAAAGAACTCAAAACAAAAACAAAACAAAACCCCCACAACTATAACTTCTAGGAGATACTGCATAGGAAAATATTTTTGGAACCTTATGTTAGGCAAAATTTGATTACTGTAACACAAGAAGTGCAATTCATTAATCAGACTAGTACATTGGATTTGACTGAAATATAAAACTTCTGCTCTTCAAACAACACAACTAAGAATATAAAAAACAAGCCACAGACTGGAAGAAAATAATTTGTAAATTATGCAACAATTTGGCATTAATCATCTATTACTGTGCGGAAAACACCCATACTCTTAGTAGCCTAAAACAACAAATATTGCTGGGCATGGTGGTATCAGCTCTCTGGAGATTGAGGCAGGAAGATGGAAAGTTTGAGGCCAGCCCCAGCTATATAATTAAAAAAGGCAAATTTATTCACAATTTAGGGCTAACCACTAAACACCTATAATAAAAAAAAAATGACAATACTAAGTGTTGACTAGATGTGGAGCAATTGGAATCTCTTAGCAAGTACAAATGTAAAATATCACTACTGTGGAATATAATGTAGCTATTTCTTAAAAATTAAACATATACTATCTTATGGCCCAGAAATTCCACTCCTAGGTATTTCGTAAGTGGAAAAAATGTTAACACAACCTTGTATGTAAATGTAGAAACAGTATTTTTATAACAGCCCAAACTAGAAGCCATCCAGATACTCATGAATCTAAACAGTACATATTTTGAAGTCCTATATCGTTTTCATTGCTTGGTTTGGTTTTATTCTGGTTTGTTTGATTTTATTATGGATGATGGTATGTGTAATTATTTTAAAGATAACAAGATATAGTATGGTTGGCATTCTTGATTTCCTATTATCTTCTGAAGTTCTGTAGCACTTACATTGTTTTATTTTGATTGGCTTTCTTCTATTTTATTGTTTGCTTTCTCTTTAAAACACAATTTTGAAAAATAGCACATAAATGAAAAAGTATGACACAGTCGTATAAGACTATTATTTATCAATAAAGATATTAACCATTAATTAAACAATAGTAACTATTAATTTAAAAAGATATATAACTATTAATACATATAGTACTATACTACAGATTCTTTCTGTCATTTAGTCTCTTTTTCTACTATAAAAATGTAATGTAGCCTAAAGGTCAGGTTACTTCAAGTTCTGAGACTAACTGTCCATATAATTCCTGTGGGAGCTTCCTCCTCACATCCATAGGAAGACTTCTACTTAACTCACCCAAAACTTACTTTCATGTTCCTTCCAGTGCTACTCCAATAGTAGTACTCCAACAAGGTTTCAAAATTACCTCCAGGCTGGGGATTACCTCCAGGCTAGCTCGTTGGTAGAGCTGCATACTTAGCACAGCAGGTATGAGGCCTCAAATTTTATATCCAGCACTTCAACAAACAAAAGACACCAACTTCCCTTCCTCATTCTACTCATCCACTCCAAATTTCTATTCCCTGACCAATGATTCAGTGCCCTACAAACTAATAAGGTCTGAGGGGGTTGCATAAAGCAGCCTATGGCTAAAAATACACTTAGTTTCCTTACTCAGTGAGAAAAATAGATATTTCAATTTCTGAAAATTAGATGAATATGTCTAATGCCCAGAATGTGATAAAACTTTTTAAAAGGCCTTGAAACAGATGTAGTTTTTGGTAGGGTTATTTTCTTTCATTTTGTTTCCTTCTTCAGTGTGTGGGAATACATTTAAATCTATTCCTGGTCATTCAATTTATGTTCCAGTCTTTAAAAACAAGAATATATATTTAAGAACATATGGTGGGGACAATCTTGAGGCTTTAATAGGTAAATGTTGACAACTTGAGACTATCCTCATAAGTGAAATAAATCAGACTCATACTTGTAAATATCACATTGTCCCTCTAGTGTAAAAAATAATAAAAACTAAGGAATAAGAAGATCCAAAATGTATAATAGATATTGTAATAATGAAAGGGAAGGGACGTGCTCTAAAGGATATAACTGTATGTATGTTTAAGTGTGTAAGACAGATAACCATACTAAGTTTTTGTTGGTTTGTCGAACAGAATGGTTTGTACTGTCATCGTTTGATTGCTTTTTATGCTTTGATTTTGTAACTTAAACAACTATTTCTAAGATGACAATATGTAATTTATCAACTAGTGATTTGTTAGTGTTCTTTCTTTCAAAATTCTGTAATATTTCTACCTCTTTTTCTGTTTTGCTTTTTCTCTAAATAAAAATTTTTAAAAAGAATACATGGTGGTGCAGGCCAATAAACCCAGAACTTGGGAGGTGGAGGCCTGAGGACCACTACAAATTCAAAGATATTTGCAAGTTTAAAGCCACAAGAGCCAGTCCCATCTCACAAAACAAAACAAACATACAAAAAAACCAGTAAAGAATCCTTTAGAGCCGGGCACGGTGGCACATACCTGTCATCCCAGCAGCACTCCGGAGGCTGAGGCAGGAGGACCGCCTAGAGTTAAGGCCAGCCTGGGCTGCATAGGGAGTTCAGGCCCAGCCTGAACCCCAGGCTGAGACCCCGCTTCAAAAACCAAAAAACCTGATAAGACAGATATTACACGTCATTAGCCGAACAAGATGTATCACGTAGAGGTACAGACTCCCTATGATGAACCTTTTCGTTGTGTATAACATGGGGGGAAATCATGTTAAGAATGCTAAGGAATTGAAAATTGGGCGCTATAAACGGTTATTGATAACGGGATTGAGGAAGAAGAGCGCATACCTGCAACCTGCTGGGATCCCAGTAACGATATCCGCGGGTACAGTACTGAGTTTGTGGGACTCACAGCTGGCCACGTGAGTTCATGCAATCTTTCAGTGCCACCTAGGAATTGTGACACCACCCATCCTGGCTCATAGGTGAAGAAACTTAAGTTTGGAAAGACAGAACGTCCATAATTTTCAAACAGGACTAGACTTAATCCGTTAATACAAACTAGGTGGGTCTTCCGATGACAAGGTTTAAGAGTTTAGGTCTCCTCGCTCTACTGTCTCACATTCGTTGGCCAGAAGCCGCCCGGGGCGGGGTAAGGAAATCCCAACCTGGAGGCGGGAAGCAGGAGCCACAGTGGGTGTGGCCTCATGAGTTTCTCTCAGAGGATGGGGCGGGAACGCCGCTCAGCCGGAAAGAGCTCGATACGTCGTGAAGTGCCGTGCTGCGGGATGGTGCTTTACGACAGTTCGAGTGCTCTTGCTTGGTTGTTCTGCGCTTGCGGCTCCGGTCCACACGTGTACCGCTGTCTTCCGTCTGGTGATCCTGCCTGTTGCTGTAGTGCAGCCACTTAGCAGGACGGAGTGGCTGCGTAATCCAAGGATCGTGAGCTGATGCCATTGGCTGCTGAAAATGAAGAGGGCTCTGGAGGAGGTCTCCAGAGGGTACCTGAAGGGGCGCGGCTAGGTCCTGAGGCTGGTAGGGAGGTGGAGGTGTGGGATTCAGCAGCGATGGAGGAGCCTGGTGGAGGAGAGGAGGGAAATGCACGAACAGGAGTGAAGAAGACAGAAGATGCAGAGGAAGGAAGCGAGCAGAGGGCAGGAGAGATGCGAGTGGATTTATCACTTGTGAAACAAGAAATTATGGATTGGTCGGATGTAGAAGGAGGCATGTCGGATGCACAGTGGGTGAAGCAGGAGGTAGGGGATGGGTCTGAGGTGAAAGATGAGAAAGCAGGCATATTGGAGGTGAAGCAGGAAATGGATAATAGTTTTGTAGTGAAAGAAGAAAAGGTCGATGAACCAGACGTGAAGGAAGAGAAAGTGAAGGTGAAGGAAGAGGTAATGGATTGGCCAGAAGTGAAGGAAGAGGAAGGTAACTTGGAGATAAAGCAGGAGATGTTTATTGATCAGAATATAAAACAGGAGGACATGATGGATGGAGTGCATGTAAAAGAAGAGGAACATTTCCTGAAGAAAGAAGTAATAGAAGATACAAAGGTGAAAGAAGAGCCTCAAATAAATCCCCCAGTGGGCTGCAAACGAAAACTGGCCATGTCAAGGTAGGGCTGGGAGAAATTCAACTGGGGGAGTAAAGCTGTGGAGTCTTTGGGGGAGCGAGGGGTTGGTGATTGGGAACTACACTAATAGCAGAAAGCGGAGTAGTGAAAAATAGCCCTACAAGGTTGGGTCCCTGGAGTCCGAGTGGGATTGTGCAGAGAAAGGTGAAGGGAAATGTTGTTTAGCAAACTCAATGAAATTCCGTGAATCGTCAGTGGGTAATGGTCAACTTATGAAGTAAGCATTCTGGGAATCACAAGACCTTTTGCAACCAAACCTGGCTAATTTAATAAACTTTCCATTCAATATTGATTTAAAAGATTATACAGTTCAGGACATCTAACAATGACAAAGTTGATTAAGCTAAAAATATAGGCAAAAATTAGCTTAAATTTAGTGAGCTGCATGTTTTAATTTCCTTAGTGTGTAATTATGCTTGTGATAACATAGGAAATGAAATTGTGGTGAGACTGTTAGGAATATAACTGTCTAGAACACAGTGAACCAAATAGAAGTAGCTGTAAAAGATTGTCACTACCCCGTGGTCATAGAGAGCAGGCAGATGATGGGTAATAGCATTTGTAAATTAATTTGATGCCCATTCTAGGTTGGTGTGGAGTTGAGGAAAAAAGACATGAATGCTACTGTTTAAATTTGTGTGGGTCTTACAGTGTCTTCTTTTTCTGCTATATATGCTTTTAAATATCAAAACATACTTAGGAACAAAGTTCTGGTTACATATCACTTCAGAGCGACCAGATTGTCAAAACATATAAGCTATCAGCAGATAATCAAAAGTGAGGTGATTTTTTAGAAAATCATAATTTTCTTTTCTTGAATCACATATCACTAACAGTATTGTAAATGTAGATGTAATTTGGAGATAGTTTCATAGAGAATTTTCAACAGTGACAGTTGTCAAGTATTTTATCAAAGTTGCTTGCAAATAGTTTAATCACTATGAGCACATGTCTAAATTATGACAACAAATTGAATCAGCATTCTGAGTTTGTAGATAGATAAATAGCATTAATACTTGATAATTTAATGTTGTGTGTGGGTTTTTGTAGGTGTGAAACTTGTGGTACAGAAGAAGCAAAGTACAGATGTCCACGTTGTATGCGATATTCTTGCAGGTATTCATGCGACTTTCTACCTTGCTACCTATATCTGTATGCTTTTTGCTTCAAAATAAAAAAAATTCTCTTCTTTGTTTCTTCAGCTTGCCTTGTGTGAAGAAACACAAAGCAGAACTGACGTGTAATGGAGTTCGAGATAAAACTGCTTATGTTTCACTACAACAGTTCACAGAAATGAATCTCCTAAGCGGTAAGCCATTTAATGCTCAGCAGATTAATGCTTCCCAGCAACTGATATATATCACTTGTTTATTTTTTTATTTTGAAAATTTTAGATTATCGATTTTTGGAAGATGTGGCAAGAACAGCTGACCATATTTCTAGAGATGCTCTTTTGAAAAAGCCAATAAGCAATAAACATGTAAGTATTGTAATTTCTCCCAATTAGGTCATTTCTTTTTTGTTTGTTTGTTTGTTTTTCGTTTTGTTTTGTTTTGGTTTTGCAACTTAACAGTGGTCAGAGGCCCTTCTAAATACAATCATGGGTGGGAGAGATAAGAGATAAATGGGAGAAAGCTGTATACAGGAAGAAGTATAATTTTAAATAGAATTAAGTGCATATAGAAAATGAAGAAGGTTCATGGGATTAGAAGAATGAAAATGGGTTTCCTGTGGAAATGTTGCCAGAGGTTTGTTTTCAATACAGTGGTTAGGAGAAGCTCCTCAGAGAAATGTTATTTAAGTAACCATATGAACAACAGGAAAAAAAAACTTAACAAGCAAACATTTGGAGGAAGACTATTCCATGGAGAGACAAAAGTAAAAGTATAAACCAGAGTTAGGAACAAAGTTGATATGTCTGAAGAATTAAGAGAAGCACAGTGACTAAAGCAAATTGACTGTGGAGAATGTTACACATGAGGTTAGAGTAACTAGTGAGGTTTCTCTGTATATTCTAAGTGAATGTAGAAATCGTGGGAGAATTTTGAGCATTTCTGCTTTTTGAAAGACCACTCTTCTGCTGTGTGGACTTCAGGAATTAAGAAAGGAAGATTAGAAACAAATAGTTATAAGGTCTTATAGTGTCACCATGTGAGAGATGGTGATGGCTTGCGTCATGCTGCTAGAATTAATTGGGGAGTGATTAGATTACAGTTCTGAAAGAAGAGCTAACAAGATTTGCTGTTCAGGCACACATTTTCAAACTCTTGCATCCCTTTTTCATTGCTTAAGCACTTTTCAAACTTATGATTGAATATTTGACATATTTCACAACTGATATTTTAGAAATTTTTTAGTATTTTGATTAACTCACATCACAGATTGGTGTTCATTTTTTAGAGATTACTTAGTATTGAAGTTACAGAAACTTATGCCTTTTTTCGCATCTTTTGTTTTTATCAGCTTTTGTTTTCTTGTATTTCTTAGATATTAGTCAATAGTTCATTGTTATAATTATCATTTATTTTACAATTCTCTTTTCATTTGATGGGCTCTTTTAGTGAACAAATGTCCCTAATTTTAATACAGTCAAAATTATCATGGACTTCCTTTCATTATCTTTATGTTTTTTATAGAAATTCTTTCCTACTTTGAAATTAATGGTAATACTTTTCATAGTATTTTTTGAAAGCTTTATAGCACTGATGGTGAGTCTTTTAGAGTTCTCAAGCATACAAGCAACTCATTGTGGCTCACCTGCTGTAGTTTTGCTACCATTGCTTTATAGTATTGTCTTTTTTGTCTTAAACTAAAATTGGTTTTTGGTAGAAGTGCCATTTAACTTATGAAAAATCCACTTTTCCTAGCACTGCATACTATAAAGTTTATCCTTTCACTACTACTCTACAGAAGCACCTTGGCCCATTTATCAATCATCCATGTATGTTTTGGTCACTTTTTGACTGCATATTCATTATGTTAGTCAACTTGTCTATCCTGCTGCAATACTACATGCTCTCAGTTATTGTAATTTTTTTTTCAGGCAATTGAAAAAGTTTAAGTACATGTAACTGTACATATTTATGGCCTGTAGAATGTCATTTCAATACATTTATATATTGTATAATGATCAACTCAGGGTGATTGGATATCCATAAACATTTACTATTTCTTTATTCCTTTTTGCGGGGGAGAAGATCAGGTGGAGCCGTCTCTCCTGATGGGATGAAAGGAATTATTTAACCACTGTAGGAGCGTTTAGCATTTACATTTACATTACCTTTACATTTAGCAAGATAAAATCACATGTCACCCCCTTGCCTAGCAACCTATTGTTTGGATTGTCTCAGAGCTTGGTGTTTTCTGGCCTGGAGCAGCTTGTTCATGTGGTTTGCTCCAGGAGCTCTGTTCTCCAACTGGCCCCCATAGGTGTGACCAATCTCCAGTTCAGCAGCTTCCTGTATCTCCCTTTTTTCTGTTTTGTAGTTGTAAGCAGTAAGTGGACAGTTGAAGTTGTAAGAGCTGTGTCTGGAAAACTTTGTAGTTCTTTTTATTCTTCAACCCCCTTTTTTTTTGTCTTTTTCATTTTTATCGGTACCAGGGATCGAACTCACAACTGCCTGCTTGCAAGGCAGGTACTTACGCCGCTGAGCTAAATCCCCAGCCTCTCTTCAACCCCTTTTATTTTGAGTGAATTTACTGATTTGGACTAGAGATTTTCAGTCCAAGGATTTTAAGTCCTTGCATTTGGCAATTAAAACCCTGTACAGTCTTAATCCATCACAGGAGTCAGTTGCCAGGGTAACCAACACCTATCATGCTAGTGATTTGAGTTTCTTTTATAGCTAACATTTACTGCGGCATTGTTTTATACCTCTTGTAGTTGTAAAGCAGGACGTTCAAGACCAAATTAAGATGAGACCTGTATTAATTACAATCAATCTTGTTATTTATCAAGGTCAGTTAAGCCTCCTCAGGAATTACCTTGGAACCCTGCATAGCACCTCTTAATATTTCTGTCAGTGCCAGCCTTCTGGATGAGTCATGGCCATTGCTTCACCAAATTCCTTTTTTGTGAAAGCTTGGGAGATTTTTTCTTCTTCTGGTGACTCTTAGGCACACTACACACTGATGATCACTTTCCTCGGTGGTCCCACCAAAAATTCACCAAGTATAGGATGTCGCAGTAGAGGTGCTCTCAGGTCCTGGGTCTTCACTCACCTTGGAGCATGAGGGCCAATATATTGGCTATCCTGTTATCCCATCTATCTTGTTAATTACATCCAGAAGAGATTAATGACATTACATTGTAATTGAGGCAGTAAGCTTAATATTACTGTCTTATCTAAATATTAAGCACCTTAGACTTAAAATGAAATTGTTTTCTACTAATCATGGATGTTTTGACATTTGAATCTATAGAATGTTAACAGTTACCTATTTTATACAGAAAATTAGAAATCAAAACTATCATGACAATCATAACTTAAAATATTTATTATTTCTTCATGTTGGGACCATTCAGAATCTTTTATTCTCCAGTAAATTATTAACATTATTCACTCTACCCTGCTATAGAGGAGTAGAATTTTTTTTCCCCACATAAGGTTTTCTAATCACCGACCTCTCCCTAACCCCATAGTTTTTTACTAAACTCATAATCTGATAGTGAGTCCTTCCACTTTGTTCTCAGAGTGTGGCTATTCATTGGTTCTGTACAGATATTAAGAATCAGTCCAGTTCCATAGTCCCCTTTACCCTCTTGGGAATTTTGATTGGGTTATATTTATTTTGATCGGTTTAGGAGATTTTTCTTTACAACATGAATCTTTAACCTTAAGTGTTGTATCTGAATTCTGAGTTTACCTGAGTCTCCTTTAGTATTCTTCTCTAGGTATTTTCTCAGAGACCTTACACATCTTTTTCTTAGGGGCATTCCAGGCTTTTTTTTTTTTTTTTTTTTTAATGGTTCTGAGGATCAAATTCAGGATCTTGAGCTGCATGTTCAGCCCTTTGGACACTATCTTAAATGACATTTGATTTTTAATTCTTCCTCTTATTTGCACATTAAGAATGAGGTTTTTGCAGTGGGCAACCATATTAAAATCTATACCAGTACTTTACCTATAGAGTCACATGATTTCCAGTTTGTTTCTTCCTAATCTAAAATTTTCTCTTCTTGCCTCATTGAAGTAACTAAGACCACCGTTTCTACATTGAAAAGTTCCAATACCACCTTTGATTTGAAGATTCTCTAGAAAGATTCATAGGACTCAGCATACAGTTGTACTCACAGCTAAAACTTTATCATGAAAGGATGTGAAACAAAATTAGGAAAGAGAAAAAGTATGAGACAAAGTCTGCAGGAAACAGGTCACAAGTTTCTGATACATCTCTTCCATTGGAGTCATACATATGTAGTTAATTCTTTTGTTAATAAGTTGCAATAGCACTGCTGAGATATTTTCTACCAGAAAGGCTCACTGGAAATTCAATGCCCAAGACATTAATTAAGGACTAGTCACAGAGCATCTTCTACCTACCACATAGCAAAATTTCAGAGTCCCAGAATAAAAACCATGTTTAATAAAATCCATAATGATAAAAAAATTACACATAGTGATGACCCACAGTCATTTTAGGGAATATTTTATGTCATTGTATGAAAATGTTTAGTTTTTAGTTTCAGGATTGTTATGTTAACTCTTCTGTACATTTTCATCTTTTCCTTGATCTTGGGCAAACTTTCATGATTTTTTTCTAGTTCTAGCTTATTAGATTAAGGAAATTCTAATCCTGGTTTGCTAATAAATTTTATAATTTCAGTGGCTATATTTTGTCACCTACTTTTTTCAGTAGTTTATTATTTCACTTTTGTCCTTCTAAACTGTCATACTCTAATTTTTTTTTTTTTTTTTTTTTTTTTTTGGTACCAGAGATCAAACTCACAACTGTATGCTTACAAGGCAGGCGCTTATGCTGCTGAGCTAAATCTCCAGCCCCTTCTAATCTTAATTCATCTTGTAATTTTTGCATGCTAATTTTGCATGGTATACTATTACAACCTATTATGTTTATACTTTACAGAAGTTAGTGTGTATATATTATCTATCCATTCATTTTTTAAATTTCTGTTCATGAATGAAATTGACCTCTGATTTTTCCCTTTTGATATCTTTAGGTTTCTATATTAATATAGTTTTTAGTTTCATAAAGTTAGGATGGTTTCTAGGTTTTTTAAAATAGATTGATTAATATTGAAATTATTTTTCTTTGGAAGTTTATAAAAATTCATCACCAGTATGAGCGTAGAATTGGGCCACTGAGATAATGTTTTCAGGAGTCTCTCTGTGTCTCTTGAGTCACTGATTTAATTTTTATAAAAATTTGCACATTTGATTGAAATTTTGTTTTGTTGAAAGTTCTTCATAACATTTTAATTTACATGTCTGTGGGAGTCACAGTCATTTAATGTATGATACTGGTTGTGTCTTTTGTTTTTTCTAGGTCAATTAAATATGTTTCTTTTCAATTTTAATAACATGTCTTTTTCACTTTTGTTATATCTTTGTTTTCTTCTAGTTTATCTTTATATTCCTTTTCTAAAAATCAGAAAAATTCTTAAGATACATGATTGGTTTATTATTGAATCTTCATATATTTTTTTCATATATATTTCTTTAATCTTAATATATAGTTCTTGTTTAATATTTACACACAGAATATAAATTTCCCTCTTACATATTTCACAAGTTTACTCCTTTACAACTTAAGACTTACTTAGTTCAGTTTAACTAGCCCTGATGGTCAGTGGAGTAACACATGGTAGAGCCAGATGTTTTCATGTCCCATTTTGTAATGCCCACAACATTGGCTCCTTTAATTAGGTCTTATACCAGGCCATGCAGTGGTTCCTTTCTTGAGTAAGCTGTTTGTCTAGTAATAAAATCAGGGGGTTTTTCCTAACTGGTATAAAACCACAAAAGTAAGAGGAAAAATTTCTGAACCTAGGAATGTATAGTAGCCCGTTTGTCAAATATTTAATTAGCGTATGTGAAGCTTTGAATTTAATCTCTCATTCCCAAAAAAAGAGAAATATCTGTGATATTCTACCTTGATTTATAAATTAAATGGTTAAAAGCACAGGTTGTGCAATTGATGGGCCTGCTTTTTAATACAGGTTCTGTCTTTCTGGCTGTATGATTTTGGAATTTCACTGATTTTTATTGCTAAAATGGGTATGACCAAGTATACTTGTCTCATAGTATTTTTGTAAATATTGAATGAAATTGTGCTTTGAGTCATTTGTGAAACATAAGTACTCAGTAAATCTTAACTATTATTGAATATGATTTTACTTATTTCTGAATTGTAAGGCATTTAAGATTAATTTATCTCTTATTTTATTAGATGTATTTTATGAAAAATCGTGCCCGAAGGCAAGGTATTAACTTAAAACTTCTACCCAATGGATTCACTAAGAGGAAAGAGAATTCAACATTTTTTGATAAGAGGTATGTTTCTAAATTAGTATACCAGGTTTTGTTTTTGTTTCTGTTTTAATTAAGAACATTCCTTAAAGTTTGGTTTGTTGGATAGGATTGCTACACAAAGTATGAATTCTAAACTGTGGCAGAATGACAAGATAACTTTGGTAGTTGCAAGCCATATGAGTAATAAAATTGGGATATGAAATACATGTATTGTCTTGATACTCTTTGAATTTCTCAAATATTAGTGCATATAATAAATCATCTAGGTTTCATAATATGACTTAATTTCAGTAAGTCTGGCTCAGAGTTGTCTATTTCTAATGAGCCCTCTAGTAATGTTAGTCGTTTGAAACCATACTTTGAGAACAGTGTTCTAGAATACTCTCAACAGTAGAAATAAAAAAAGTTCCTAGGAGACCCAAGATACTGTCGAACTATTTCAGAAGGTTTAGGACAAAGTAGTGAGTCATAGCAGAAACCCTGTACTATTAAAATTAAAAGCAATCTAGCTTTTCGTATCCTTTCTACATTTGAATTCTGAGCAGTATTTCATTTAAAAGCTGGCCCTGGAGGAGGAAATCTTTTAAAGCATTAAAGGGAACCTTGAATACAGATAGTATTACAAAGATTGGTTTGCTACTCTTTCAAAGTATTGGCTGAAAAAGCAGAGGAGAAGATAGGCATGGTGGTGTACTCCTGCACAAATCCTAGCACTTGGGAGACTGAGACAGGAGGATCATTGCAGGTTTGAGATCAGCCTGAACTACATAGTGAGACCCTGTCTTAACAAGACCAAAAAAATTAAAAAACCACAGAAGTAAAGAAAGGAATAGGATTCCAAAGTAGCCAAAAATTTAGAAAAAAATATGGATGATCCATAGGAAAAACACTGATATCATAATATCCTTATTTCTGCCTATTAAAAATTTGTTATTTCTTTGACCTGAAGAGTTTGTTGCCTTGAAATCCCTTTATCTTTTGTTTTATACAATTGCAAGTATCTTGGGTCAGAGATTAATTTTGAATCAATTTTGAATTAATTTTCCAGTATAACTCACCTCTACCTCTGTTAGTCTCTCGTGCTAACTTTAATGTCTTCTTGCTGTTTTTCTTTTGGTACTTTTTCTTGGTTTTTCACTTCTTTTCAATTCTAAAAACTCAGAATGTATATATTCTATTTTTGTCTATGACAACTCAATGACATACTGATTTATATGAACTACTACATGACATAGCAACTACCATTTTTCTCAGTTGGCACATTCTCCAATCAGTGACTTGGAAATTTTCTTCTGAAATTATTAATATTAACATTATGGACAGACTTGCTACCTTTTTCTTCTGAAATTAAACATACGGGAAATAAAACTACCATTTCTCAGTTTTGTCAGATTAACATTGAAATGTCCATCCACTGGCAGAAGTACTTATTTTACATACATTTGGCTTAAAAATATGTATGTTTCTGTGTAATATTGCTTGGCAAAATAAGACAGAATTTATTTGTTCAATACACTGAATATTTGGTATGTTCTTTGTTTAAAACTACATAAACTGAAAAATTTAGATGTAGCCTACAAATCTATTGTTGTATTTACCTTAATGTATTTACTTCAAATGTAACAATTAGACTTCAAGCTTCTTAATTACTTTTAATGCTTACCCTCAAGTCTTTCATACTATTACCTCCCTGGTCTTTTTCTTTTCTTTTTGATTTTTTGAGGCAGGATTTCATTATGTAATTCAGGCTGATCCTGAATTCACTATGTAGCCAGGCTGGCCTTGAACTCATGATGATCCTCCTGTCTCAACCTCCTACTGCTGATATTGCAAGCATGCATCAACACACAGGTCGTTAGTTATTTCTAATGCATGTTCTGTGTTGGCTACTGTAAGTCATTGAGCAAATTTTTCAGTTCAGAAGGTTCTGGGTTGTTGCTCTTTCTTAATCCCTTGGTATCTGAGTATATCTTTTAGTTGCTTCTGTACAATAATGACAACTTGGCAGGATATATAATTCTTGGTTTAAGACTATTTTTCCTTAAAACTCTGATGATAAAATATTGTTATATTGTCTTTTGGCATATTTGAATTGCAAGAGAAAAATCTGACAGTCTGACTTTTGCCGTTTTATAGCTAGCCTTCTGTCTATCTGGATGCTTATAAAAATTTTTCTTGAATTTTTTTTAAAAAGTCACCACAATCGCTGGAAATATAACTCAACAGCACAGTGCTTGTCTAGCAATTGCAAGGTCGTGAGTTTGATTCCCAGTACCAAAAAATATGTATATTTCTAAGTGTTTCTTTTTGTTTAAGTTTAAAGGTGCCCTGTGAGCCTTTTCAAATTGTGGGCATACTTTGTTCTTCAACTCAAATATTTTCTTCAGTTACTTTGCTTATAGTTTCAGTTTTATTTGCACTGATTTTAATGTCAGATATTCCTCTTACACAGATTTGCACCTCCTGGACCAGCCTCTTAAGTCTTTCTGTTTCTTCAGTTTCTCATCTTGACTTTTTTTACCTTTTTCTCTGGATTCTATGAAAGTTTCTCATTTGCCTGTACTTTAATAATTTGATTTTGTGGCTAATCCAGCCTACACATTTTCATTCTCTCTCTGAACTCTCAGACATCTTCTGCATGCTCTAACATTATTTACTCTATCATTGAACATGTCTTTAATACCCTCTACTATAAGATGCTTATTTAGCATTTTGTAGCTCTTCTAAGTATACTACTATGTCTATGGCAAGAGGGCACATTTTTTTGATTACTGAAGCTCTGTTCCTTTCTTCTTAACTATGGTATTATGGCCCTTTTCTGGGCAGAGGAGTCCAAAAACATTAAGGAAGTCTTCCAAGCAGAGAACAAAATTGAAGAATGTCCAAATGGTTTGTTTGTTCTTTTTTTTTTTTTTTTTTTTTTAATTTCAGATCTTCCTTTTAGGGTTATTTTCTTCCTTTCTTTTAGCTTTCCTTTAGTGAACTCAGACAAAGAATATATTTTTCAATTTTTATGAAGATAAAAAGAATCATTATCAAGAAATCAGATGCCATAGTAACAAATACTATTAAGAAATGGGGAAAGGGAACATTGTTGCTGGAAATGTAAGCTTATTCTTGCATGCCCATGTTTATAGCAGCGTGGCTCACAATAGCTAAATCTTGAAAGTGGCCAACTGTGGTTCAATGGGTGAAAGGATAAAGAAAATATGGAGCATCATTTTGTCATAAAGAAGTACAAGTTTGAGTCATTTGTAGGAAAATGGGTATACCTTGTAACAAGAACATGAAATAAGTCAAACACAGAAGCTTAAAGATCACCTATTTTCTCTTAAATTTAAACAACCCAGAGTATAATTAAAGGAAGTTTTGGTCTGAAAATATCTTTATTTCATTTTTTTATTTTTAATGGGAATACAGAAAAAAAAATCCACGTACATCATTAGTATACTATTCTTAAAAGTACAATATTTTATAGTAGTACCCCAGAATCTGTCTTCTCTTCCCTGTATAGTTACTTATCTCACTAACTTCAGACTTCACAGATGAGTTTTGTTCATTAATTTTTTTCTAATATTTTATGAATTTTTTTCAAGCATAAAATAGAATTTTGTAGTTAATATCCATATGCTTGCCACTGGATTCTGTCATTAAAATTGTACTGCAGTGCTTTATTCCATATTTATCTTTTAGTTAACCAATCATTTTGGTGCGTTCTGAAGTAAATGCAGACATCACTGAAATGACTCCTGAATATTTCTGCATCAAGTGTACATTTATTGAATTTTAACAAATACATACCTGTATATAACTCAGTCTCTATGTAATAAAACATTACATTATCACCACCCTTGATTTTTCCTGGCCAGCTCTCCACTTTAGAGATAACCTCTTCTAACCAACTCCCTCCCAAGATTCATTTTGCTTGTTTTAAATTTTTATGTATTTGGAGTCCTATATCTCATGCTTACTTTTGAATGATAGTTTAGTGTTGGGGTTCTGCAAGCAAAGGGAAAATCAAGGGTCGCACTCATTAAGGGTCAGCAAAATAGCTGCCACCTGGCCAGCCTAAGCAAGTAGCTTTTATTGAGATAAAGAACCAAGAAACTCAAATTGCGCATGCTCAGATTATATAACTTGTTTGCTTTTTGACCTTACAGGACCTCATGTTTTTTACCTTGGAGTGGGGGTGATGTTTCAAGGCCTGCACTTTTCCCACAACATTGTCACCAAATGTGTTGGTGTGGCCTCTCTACATCTCCCCCTTCTTGTTGTAGTGTAGGCTTTCTTACCATGTTAGAAGCCGGCATTTTAGGTATGAATGTTTTGCACGGGGATGAGATGCTAACCCTAAGGCATCCCATACCAGTTAAGCAAATAAGGACAGTAACACCATAAAGAAACATTTGTTTTAGCCAATTGATATCTGGTAACCATCCTGTAAGGAAATTCCATAATCCAGTATTGAGCCCTTGGGACACATGTATCTGTTTGGTAAGTTCTTGTAAATCATGAAGTTTCCCATTGATGAATTTACTTTCATCAGACAAATTAAAATAGCACATTTGAGCAATTTCATTGCATCCATGATGATGCAATAGAAGTAAATAATCAATTGTAGCATGATTAGCTAAAATCACTTATCAGTGTTCACTTTGTTTAATAATGCCAAAGCTATAGAAGTATAATTAATTTGTTTTGCCATGAGACAAGCTAGTGTATTAACATTGTGAGTGGCCCTGGCTGTTAGGGCAGGCACACCAACCAAAGAAATACCTAAAGCATAAATTTCTGTTTTAGTTAACAGGCTAATAGAAAAGTTCCCAGGGCTGGGAGTTTAGCTCAGCAGCATAAGCGCCTGCCTTGCAAGTGTGCGGTTGTGAGTTCGATCCCTGGTACCGATAAAAAGGAAAAAGACAAAAAAAAAAAAAAAAAAAAAAGGAAAGCTCCCACATAAGTCAGTGAAACCAGTTGTAGACCATTTGGTGCAAGACAGTGTAAATTCAGGAGAAGGCAACAAT